AAATAGAAGGTAAAAATTAGTCAAAATCTAAAACAAGAAAAGGAAAGCAAGGACACCAAAATTAAATATAAAATGAAAGTCAAATGCAACAAATGGGAATTACAAATATAAAATAAAATACAGAAGACTCCAAATATGAAAACGGACGGACTCTAAAAGACCGACAAGGGACTGACGCTCCGGAATGACACCCCTTTATGACAGTGCAGCTCTCAAACACCTTCTCGTATTGACTGGTACTTGAAAAAAAAAAGGAGGAGAAAGGAATGAGTATAAAAATATACTCAGTATGCAACCTACTTGTAGGCTCTTTTCGCATCCTTATCTAAGTAGGTATACACGGTCTAATCTCTCGGTTCTAGTGAGTGCAAATCACGCTACAACTCTTTTTCTTGTATCTTAGGAGGCTTACCCATCTTATGTAGTGGAAGGATCAGTGTCCTGAGGTGAGGCGCAACCTCATAAGTAAATCTGAGGGGATCGTATGGCTGAATCTAAATACGTGACTCTCTCTGAACATCATCCGTGGAGGTTAGCTGACATCCCTCACACGGGACCATACATCCACTAAATTCGGTGTGCGACCCCCTATGTGCCGGTCAGCTACTAAGTCATCCTACATGGTGTTAGGATCGCACAACAACGCACACACTCGATCTAGATGAACACAAAGAAAAGGATAGAGAAAATTGCAAGGAGAACTCTGGCTAAAAGAATTTTTTTTTATTTGATGATTTCAGGTATGTACAACAAGAGAGAGTACAGAGAATAGAAAGTACATCTTCAAAGCTTTACTGGACCGGATATATATATGGTTCAGTCTACTAAATATAGCTTTACCAGATTTAACTATCTACTATATATAGCTATTTACCATATATAGCTTTATCGGATATAGCCGTTGACCAAGCGATAAATACAGGGAGCAAACTCCATAACTCAACAATTCTCCCACTTGGAGACTGATCCTACACCATAGCAATTAGGGCTTTGCATAACCTTAATTTTCCAACATCAACACATTTTGTCAACATGTCTGCTGGATTCTTTGCACCCTCTATCTTCTCCAAACACATATCGCCTTCTTCCACTAACCTGCGAGTGAAATGGTACCATCTTCTAATGTGTTTTGTCCTTTAATGATAGACTAGGTTTTTCACCAACTGTATGGCACTCTGACTATCTATATGAAGGATCTTCTTGCACTGCTTCCGGCCTAATTCTTCTAGATAGTCTGTCATCCATATCATCTCCTTTCCAACTTGAGCTATAGCCACGTACTCAGCTTCAGTAGATGAAAGAGCAACGCATTTCTGAAGCTTGGACATCCAACTCACTGCTATTCCATCTATAGTGTAGATATACCAAGATGTGCTCTTGCTAGAGTTTACATCTCCACTCAGATCAGCATTCACAAAACCTTGCAGAACTACTTTGCCATTGCCATAACAAAGTGTAGTATTGGATGTATCTCTCAGATATCTCAGAAGCCACTTCACAGCTTCCCAATGTTCCTTCCCTGGATTTGCCATGTACTTGCTAACAACTCCCACTGCATGTGTTATGTCAGGTCTAGTGCAGACCATAGCATACATCAAACTCCCAACTGCAGAAGCGTACGGAGCGATGCCATGTGCTCACGTTTCTCAACTGTCATGGGAGATTCCCCCTTTGACAATTTAATATGATTTGCCAAGGGGGTAGTCCTGGGTTTAGCGTTATTCATCTTGAATTTGGACAACACCTTCTCAATGTACAGTTCTTGGGATAGATTTAATGTGCCAGCAGATCTATCTCGAGAAATCCTCATCCCAAGGATCTGCTTTGCTGCACCTAAATCTTTCATCTCAAATACTGAAGACAAGCTTGCCTTCAGGTGGTTTATCTCCCTCATACTTGATCCAGCAATTAGTATATCATCCACATACAGGAGTAGAAACACATAAGAATCAGTGTATTTCTTGAGGTAGCAGCACTGATCCTTTTCACTTCTGTGGAAACCACTCTTGCTCATGAAGGAGTCAAACTTCTTGTATCATTGTCTCAGTGCTTGTTTCAGTCCATACAAGCTCTTATTGAGCTTACACACCATGTGCTCCTTGCCTGGAGCTGTAAACCCTTCGGGTTGTTGCATATAGATTTCCTCATCTAGATCTCCATGTAAAAAAACCGTTTTTACATCCATTTGCTCGAGGTGCAAATTCTCCGATGCAACAATACTCAGCAGAATTCGAATAGTAGTTAATTTCACAACTGGAGAAAAGATCTCAGCATAATCAATGTCTTTTCTTTGTGAATATTCTTTAACTACTAACCGAGCCTTAAACCTCCTTCTACCATCTGGTTCAACCTTGATTTTGAACACCCATTTGTTCAACAGAGCTCTCTTTCCTGTAGGCAACTCAGTCAGCACCCACGTATTATTCCTTTCAAGTGAGCTCATCTCATCATCCATGGCTTGCTCCCACTTGGTTGAATCTTTCACTTGTAGGGCCTCATCAAAGACCTCTGGTTCTCCTTCGTCAGTCAGCAGTAGATAATGTAATGAGGTTGAATATCTATCTGGTGCTCTGGTAGTTTTGGATGATCTTCTCAACACTTGCTCAGGTGCTACTTGCTCCACGTCTGGTTCTTCAACAATAGGATCAGGAGTTTCTTTTGCTTTTGTTGTACCATCACTGTGTGAATTTTCTTGCCACTCAAGTTCAACTCCCACTTGCTTCGTAGTCTCAGAGTTTATCTTCTCTCTGTCCTTGTACATGACATTTTCATCAAAGGTCACATCACAGTGTCTTAGGATCTTCATATTTTTCTCATCCCAAAACCTGTACCCAAACATGTCAGAGCCATAGCCTATGAAGTAAGCATTTCACGGCCTTAGCATCAAGCTTATCTCTCTTCTCTGGATCAACATGGACATACGCAGTACAACCAAAGGTTCTCAAGTGAGAGTACTTGAGTTTTTTCCTGTCCATACTTCTTCGGGCAATTTGAACTCCAAGGGTACTGACGGCCCTCTATTAATCAAATATGCTGCTGTGTTCACAGCATCAGCCCAGAATGTCTTTGGCAATCCAGAATGAATCCTCATGCTTCTTGCTCGCTCATTCAATGTTCTGTTCATCCTTTCTGCAATACCATTTTGTCTTGCCTTACCGGGAATTGTTCTTATTAAACTAATTCCCTCAGCTGCACAAAATGTTATAAACTCTGATTTGTTGTATTCTCCTCCATTGTCAGACCTCAAGCATTTGATCTTCAAGCCGGTCTGATTTTCAACTTCAGCTTTCCACTTCTTGAAGGTGGTAAACACATCTGACTTGTGTTTCAGAAAGTAAACCCATACCTTCCTGCTAAAGTCATCGATGAAGGTGACGTAGTACCTTGATCCACCAAGTGATGAAACTGGAGATGGTCCCCAGACGTCTGTATGGACCATTTCCAACCGCACTTTCTTCGGTTCTCTGGCAGCCTTTGTGAAACTAACTCGTTTCTCTTTGCCCATAACGCAGCTCTCACAAAGACCCATATCAACAGATTTTAAGCCTTCTAAAGCTCCTTTCGCAGTCAGCATCTTCATTCCTTTGACGCTCATATGTCCAAGTCTATTGTGCCATAGACTTGAATTGGAAGCACTCTCAGCAGCAGCAGTCATGTTTATACACTCTGCAGTTGTGTATAAGGTTCTGGATTTTGTGCCACGCGCAACAACCATGGTGCGCTTCACAATCTTCCAGGAACTCTTTCCAAACTCTGCTGCATAGCCTGTGCTATCCAACTGACCAATAGAGATCAGGTTCTTCTTGAGACCAGGAATGTATCTGACATCTTGTAATGTCCATAGATTTCCTGCTGGAGTTTGTATAGAGACATCTCCCTTTCCTTCAATCTCCAAGGCTTTGTTGTCGGCAAGATACACCTTCCCGAAATTTCCTGATTTGAAATTTTGAAACAATTCCTTTCTTGGAGACGAATGGAACGATGCACCTGAATCCAAAATCGAGGATTCAGCTGGGCTATCCACACTAAGGATTAAAACGTCCTCAGCATCTTCTGTTGTGTATATAGAATCATCATCATCTTCAGATTTATGATTCTGCTTCTTCTTTAGTTTTGTACAATCTGTCCGAAAGTGTCCTTTTCCCCAACAGCTCCAACACGTTACGGGTTTGTTTGGAGATTTTCCCCGGTTCTTTGATTTTGAACGCCCATGTTTGTTTGAGCTCTTTGATTTGCTTCTTCCCCTTCGATCAACACTGAGAGCATTGCCTGATGAATCTCCAGTTTCCCGTTTGCGAATACTTTCGCTGAGAAATACATCTCGAATTTCATCAAACTTCAGTTTATCAGATCCTCGGGAACTGCTGATTGCGGCAACAACAGTATCCCATGACTCGGGTAAGGATGACATCAAAATCAACGCTTTAATTTCATCTTCGAAATTAATTTCCACCGAACCCAGTTGACTTATGATCATATTGAATTCATTTATATGATCCGCAACACGTCCACCTTCAGACATCTATAGATTGAACAATCTACGCATCAAATACACCTTGTTCATAGCCGACGGTTTTTCATACATATTTGACAGCGCCTTCATCAGATCTGACGTTGTCTTCTCCTTGATGATGTTAAACGCCACGTTTCTGGATAGCGTCAACCGGATCATCCCTAAGGCTTGTCGATCCTTGAGCTTCCACTGTTCCGTGGTCATGGTATCCGGCTTCACCCCTAATAGAGGTTCGTGAAGATCTTTCTGATACAGATAATCTTCAATCTGCATCTTCCAGAAACCGAAATCGGATCCATCGAACTTCTCAATTCCAATCTTTGAACTTTCCAACTTCACAGATCGTGGTGAATTTTGCCTTGCTCTGATACCAGTTGTTAGGATCGCACAACAACGCACACACTCGATCTAGATGAACACAAAGAAAAGGATAGAGAAAATTGCAAGGAAAACTCTGGCTAAAAGGATTTTTTTTATTTGATGATTTCAGGTATGTACAACAAGAGAGAGTACAGAGAATAGAAAGTACATCTTCAAAGCTTTACTGGATGGGATATATATATGGTTCAGTCTACTAAATATAGCTTTACCAGATTTAACCATCTACTATATATAGCTATTTACCATATATAGCTTTATCGGATATAGCTTTACCATATATGGCTTTACCAAATATAGCTTTACCGGATATAAACGTTGACCAAGCTATAAATACAGGGAGCAGACTCCATAACTCAACACATGGCTCCACATCTCCCGCTCAGAGACGGTTTCTATGGCCTAGGAGTCCTGTTTAGAAGACTCCTTAGCTATCACCAATAGGCCTGGGCACCTGTCACACTTCCCTATTCGGATCTGCCAAGCTCAACGATCTCTGTACTGGAGCACTGTCTCGACGGTATGGTATCGAAGCAGAGAGAAAAGTGGAGGTTCTGATGACACTATCCACACTGCTCAACTCTAGCGGGCTACTTACAGTTACTGTGGCGACCTACTATTATTTCTAGGGGTGGAACTTGGTGGCTTAGACTTGGATTCATGCATCTCTAGGATTCTCGTGCAAGGTATCACAAACCTATCATGTTTGGAATTCTGGGCACTAGATCCACCGATAATCATTTCGCAGGTCTAAATGCATAGTATTCTAGAGGTCCCCCAACCTAGGGTCTCTTCTACCCTACTTAGTCACAAGCACCCTAATCTAAGCTCACAATTTCTTCCTATTCATCAAGAAAGATAACGCAAGCAAACATCATGCATAGGAGTTAACACGTAACAGTTCATGCAATATTAACGAACATGCTCAGTGGGAAGATAACATCCATCTTCACCCGGAGTGCAGCTTTCACAAGTTTCCCATCCTCCTCGTGCATACATACGTTATCATAATCTCAATCTAAACAGATTACATAATCATTCATATCTAGAAGTCATAGACTTCCTTATTTATCTCATTTTCATGGTTTCCATACTAATTTGCTAGGTACGGCTAGCTAAGTTTATGGGTATGATAGCATGCATGCTTATTCCAAGCGGTTCTTACAAGTATTACTCGTGAAAATCCAAATGGCTACTTACTTGGTTGACGTGTGTCTTCCCAAGCTCAAACTATTTGCCGGAAAAGGTTCCAAAAATTATGAAATTTTCTTGATAGGTTCTAATTCACATAAAAATAGGATCAGAGTTGAAATTGGGATGAAAAACAAGCAAACGGAGGTTGAAAGGTCACTCACGCGCCTACACGTGCGACTGACGCGCTCTGGAGGGTGTACTATGCTCGCGTGTCCACGCGCGACTTCCCGCGCAGTCGCGAGCCAGCAGCCAGTTCGGTTCGGTTCGCATGGGTCAGACTCAGGCCGACCTAGTTGCGCGCGCCTGATGCACTTCTCGAACCTGCGGTCGCCACGCATCACTCGTTAATCCTGTCGCGTTCCTCCGTACACCGGCCGATGCGTGGCGGCGATGCCTCCTCTCTCCTCCTATGTTTTTCCAAATTTTCTAGAAACGTGAGTTTTGGCGTTTTCAATCCATTTTCTTTCGATTTTTATATCTTCCAATCTGTAATCCGAATCAACAAGTTCTCTTCACAAATATTGTAGATCTCATATTCTATTTCTACAATATATTTTTCTTGTATTTTTTTGGTAATCACAGTTCTTATTATTTGAGTTCAAATTTGGAGAAAAACACGAGTTCTTACCAAAAATCGCATTTTCTTGAAACTTCGATTTTCATCCAGAAACCTCAAGAAACCTGTGTGAATCTTATTTTAGTTACATACCTCAAAAACTCCACATCTAACGCTAAAAAAACTCCTCAAATCTAGATAAAATCGAAATAAGAAGTTCGGAACCTTACTTTGTCCGTTCTCAAATTTTCTTGCTGGAATGAGTGGATCCACCACCCAAACTTCTTTTCCAGCACCGAGAGAAGTATTGCTTCGAAGTTTCTTGCCTTGGATTTGATCTCCAACGGCGGTTTGTCATCTCTGCTCTTCCTCTCTCCCAAATCCAAACTTCTTCTACTTTCTCCTTTCTCTCTCTATTTTTTTTCTTTTCTTTCTCTGTCTGGTGTGAGCCCAAACAACTAAACCCGTTAGGTAAGAGTAGGGACAAAATGACCATTTTGCCCCTATGTTGTTTTTTTTATTTTTTTATTTATTTATCTAAAAATTCGAGTATTACAATCCACCTCTTCAACTCGCTAAAGGGTATTTTACCCAATTTTTACCGTTCCGACTATCCTAAAGCTGAAATTGACCTTGTTTATGGAAATTAAATTCAGTATAAAGTTCACTTTCTTAATTTATGTTAAACTGAGTTAAAAAATTGTAGTTTGTAAGGAAACGAGATGGACGTTCTAATTGGAAACGACATCTAATAATACCAGGAGAAATTTTGAGGGATGAAAAACATTCGTACTCGAATTTAGGGAGAACACCAAGTAAGTGGTCTTACTATAGGATAGGTTAAACGACTTGTTTAATGTATGACGACACGTACCTAGTGGCCCTTGCACATGTCATTTATTATCTATATTTATGACGTTGTGACTATATTGTCTGATGATGATGTACGATGTAAGATGATGTTATTCTATGATGAGATGATTCTATACAATGTTATATGATACGTTAGAAGACATGGGAAGTTTATGATTATATGCTCTTGCATATAACCCCAATAGTGGGGCCACTTACTGAGTATTTATCAAAATATTCAGGTCATGTGCTACTCTTACTTTTTCACTTAAAGGAAAGGCTCCCCTGTACGGCTGACGATGACATCACAATCCAGGAGACCATGACACATGCATAGGGGAGTTTGCAAAATTTTAATTTCGTAGACAATACGTTCGTATAGGTTAGTATGCATTTAATTTTGTAGCATATAGGTTAGTACTGGGAAGTTTTACTTTATGTTATTTCAATTTTTGGTATTTTAGTTTAAAGACCTTCTAGAAAACATGTAAGTCCACGACAACGTTTTATGATAAAGTTTTGAATGAAATATTTTCCCATAAATTATTAATGATATGTATGTAGTAGCGACTTTAGGTTAAATAGGAATCTAGAGTCTTTACATATTCTAAACACATCAAAAAATGAATGCTATGAATTGACTCTATGTGATTTTATTGTTTACTTTTGCATCAACTTTTAATGCCTTCACTTGTTTATCTCTCCAATCTTGAGGGTCACCTTGGAAAGTGACGATTCTTAGTTATAAGGATGGAGAACCTCTAACGAACTATTACAAGTCAATGGCCAATAATTCAGGTAAATAAGGGTGTTGCATGATGCCAAATTTCAATGGCACCATATATATATATATAACTACATTTATATAATTGATAGTTTAAAAGGAAAAAGTTCAGCTATTGAAAGTATAATACACAACGGGAAAAAAAGTCATTATCGATATTCAACTTCTATGGTGATTTATAAAAAAACAATTGTAGTTTGAAAAAAAGTCCTCCTCGGATTGAGCCACATGGGCATTCTCGGCCTTCTTGATCTTCCTGAGCTTGCTCCAACAATTCTTGCTCGGGTGACCTCTCTTCCTGAAGTTCAAGCACTGGATCAGCTTGCCATCGGTCGACTCCTTCTTTTCATCCCCATCCTTCCGGTGCGTGCGCCCGCAAGCTTTCCATCACTTCTTAC